TGAAACATAACAGATCAACAGGTCTGTATTTAAGAATTCTGAGAAGTCTTCCCTCGATCTTATATTTTTTCTAACAAATCCAGCTTTCAGAAAAAGAGTACGATCTGTTATGAAATGCCTAGAAGGTGTAAACACCCTTGTTAAGTGTTTGTTTCTAAATGTAAGCTTGAACACTTGTAATTGGGTAGCCAAGAAGTCAATAATATGTATACATATATAAAATTTAGCATAAAATGTAAGAAGAGTTCTGGGAACTAGCTGTTTTGAAAACGTCATTTTCGACCCCTTTGCGCCTCCAGGTTGAAAATGAAAATTCTAAACTTGATTGCACATTTACAGGACACCAGCAATCACCTTCCAAAAGATGATTTGGCTACTGCGCATGCGTAAAATGTAAGAGAGGTTCTTGGAACCAGGGTTTTTTTTGTAGAAAAAATGTCATATTTGCCCCCCCCCCCCCCCCCTTTGTCCTCCAGGGTGAAATGAAATATATGGAGATAACAAACAGTATTCAAGCTCAAAAGTCATTAATCAATACAAAATAGGAGCAGAGCAAACACGGACCTCCAAACATCAGAGGTGGGATCAGGTGCCATGGAGGAGTGAGCATCCCCTGCTGACCGGTCACACCCGCCGTGTGCTCCTTGTCATGATCGGGAAATAACGGAAAAATCCGTCGACAATTCAGTGAGTAAATAATGGCCTAACAATTAGTGTGAAAAACATCAGTCAGCATTTGACTCAATGATAAATTGTATTTGCTGACAAGGTCATTGTATCGACCATAGGACTTACGAAATGATGACTTTAAACGAGACATCTGATATTCTTGTTTCATCAACTTATTTGTCAATAATTTACCTCATTTTAGAAATTGTACATACGTAGAGCATGCTCTTGCGTATCGAATCAACTGAGAGATATATACCCCGTATGCAGGTGATGAAGGTATATTGCTGCATAAGTAAGGGAAGTTGACGATTGAAAATGAAAATTCCAAAATCTTATTACACATCTTCAGGGCACTAGCAATCGTCTTACTCTCTTACATCTTTACTGCATAAAATGTAAGAGAAGTACTGGGAACCGTATCGTTTTGTATTAAAAAACGTCATTTTTTGACCCTCATTTGACCAACAGGGTAAATATAAAAAAAAAATCCGAAACCTTATTGAACATCTCAGGACACCATCAATTGTCCAAAAGATAATTTGGCCACTGCGTAAATTGTAAGAGGAGTTCTTGGAACCACTTTTTATTATTGTTTAAGGAAACAATGTCGCCTTTTGACCCCCAATTGGTTCTCAGAGTGAAAATGAAATTTCGAAAACCTTTCACATATAAAGGACCAGAAATCATCCCCTTAAAGATGGGTTGGCTGCTGTGTAAAATGTTAGAGAAATAATGAGATCCATTTTTTAAAATTTCATTTTTGACCCCTATGTACCCCAGGTTAAAATGAAAATTCCGAAATCTTACTGCACATCTAAAGAAACCACAAATCATCTTCAAAAAAAAAAAAAAAGATTATGTCACTGAGTTCTGGGAACAAGGTTTTTGTAAGGAAAATACTCAGTTTTGACCTCCGTTCGCCCTCAGGGTAAAATTGAAATTTCCAAAAACGAATCATACAAAGTTCTTATCAATTTCACTTTACAACTGCACATCTACAGGACACCATCTATCATATTCCAAAAGATTAATTGGTTACTGCTTAAAATAAAAGTTTGAGGAAGAAGAAAGTGTGACAAGCGGACGGACGGAACAGGATAACAACAATATACCCAAACTATTTTTAGAAAGTACGGGTATAATAGATATGAAAACAATGGCCGAAGAGTTGATATGATTCAAGTCTGTCACAACACCATCCAACACAGGTTTTATATTATCAAAGAGGGTCATTATAACGAGAATAAAAATTTGACTTTAAACGAGATTGTTAAAAGCCCTGTAACAACAATGTATTTGTCTGTAGCATAAGTACAAAAATATATCGTACCAAGAGCATGCTCTTGCGTGCAGCATCAGTTGTTACATGTAGACAACATTCGCAGGCGATGGTGGAATGTTCCTACATAAATGTAGGAGTTCATGATAGAAAACCAGAAGTTGTCGCATTTGCAATTTTTTTTGGTTGTCAGTTGGTCATTAACATCAATAGTCAGTAAAACATTCTAATATGAAACAGATGAAGTAGACTCTGTGGGGTCTTTTAATTCGAGTTCACTGGGATATATCGAGTCCACATACTAGTACTAATGAAAATAGCATTTTATACCCGCACTTTCTAAAGAATGTTTGGATGTATTCTTGTTATCCTGGTTCGTTCATCCGCCTGACACACTGTGCTCTTCCTGTTATTCCTCTTACTTTTTACAAAGTAAATAAATCAGCTTTTGATAGGTGGTGTCCTGTAGATGTGCAATAAGGTTTCGGATTTTTTATTTTCACCCTGGATGTCAATTTGAGTCAATAAAACGACGTTTTCTACTGAATCCTGCTTCCAGGAACTCCTCATGCATTTTACCAGTAGCCAAATCGTCTTTTGGAAGGTTATTAGTGATGTGCCATAGATGCGCATTTAGGATTCAGAATTTTCATTTTCTCCCTAGGGCCCATGCAAATGGACTTGAAAATGATTTTTTCATTTTACAGGAACCTGGTTCCAGAACTCTTCTTATATAGTACGCAGTAGCCACATCACCTATTCCAAGATGATAGGTTGTGCCCTGCAGATGTGCAATATGGTTTTGGCATTTTCATTTTCACTCTGGAGAGCCGAATGGGGGTCGAAAAAACGTCATTTTCATTTTTCAAAACCCTGTTTCCAGAACCCCACTCATTTTACGCAGTAGCCATTTGCATTTAGCTTTTTAACTTTTCATTTTCAGCCTTGGCACCAAAAGGGGGGAAAAATGACGTTTTCAAGTTCCGATTTTTTCTTCTTTTTTTCTTTTCACCCCATGACTCAATAAGGGTGGAAAAAAGACTTTTATTTTACAAAACCTCGGTTCCCATATACCCTCAAACATTTTACACAGTAGCCATCTTTTTCAAGATTATTTAAGGGTTTTTTCTAGATGTGCAATAAGGTTATGGAACATTCGTTTTCACCCTTGGGGCCAAATGGGTGTCGAAAAAACAACGATTTTTATTTTATAAAATTTTAAGTTCCCAGAACTACATATACATTTTACACAGTAGTCATCTACAATAAGGTCTTGGAACTTTCATTTTCACTCTGGGGACAAATGGGGGTCAAAAAATGATGTTTATGAGTTCTAATTAAGCCGATTTTTCCTTCTTTTTTCGTTACAGAAAAACATTTTTTTCTGAAACTCTATCATCTAAAATCAGAATTTACTTCATCACAATCTTTAATGACCAGTAATGGATTTAATGTTTGAAATACTAACATAAGACCCCACGATCATATGCTCACCTATGCATTTTATGTAAATTATGGAATAATTTTTGTGACTTCTTCGCTAACCTAGTACAATTGAGCTAGCATACATATAGAGGCAAACACTTCCGTGCGGCTTGTACTATCTTATGAGAACATCTAGTGTTAAATGCTAGAACAAAATGTCGAATTGAAGGCAACAGCAGGGCTTTTTTTTTTCTTTTGATGTAGAAATTGCTTATTAAGAATATAAAAACAGGTCAGCCAATATAGGGCGCATAGAAATTCCAACAGATTGTTTAAAGACTACATAAATATTGTCAGAGTGGGTTGGGGTGGCTCTAGCATCCTCTTAATTTCAGCTTCAGAATACTTGTGTGTAGAAACAGAATGATATAAACCAAAAAATGTAGGTGACTGATCACAAAATATGAAAATGTCCAAATCACATTTTTCATAAACGTCATTCTCATACCCGTATCTTTAGCGAATGAATCTTGTAATTTACTTATTATCTGGTCAAGATTAATTCAGTTATTTCATACTATTCAGTGCTTACTACTTTCATTCGATACTCAACAGCATGCTCTCATATAGTAAGATCAATTTTTAAACCTAGACAAACAATTGACAGATACATTGATGTTACAGGGGTTTCATCAACCTCTTTTAAAGTCAGCATTTCGTTCATTCCTGGTAGTTATAAAGCCTTTGTTAGCAAATATAACCTATCATCGGGTTGTATTTTGCCTGACCTGTCTCATACCAATTGTTAGGCCTTTGTTTTTAAATTGAATTTGACTAATCCATCTAAATTTTCCATCTTAGTGATCAATACGGCGGGTTTGGCCGGTCAACATGGGATGCCTACTCTTCCAAGGTACCTCATCACACCTATGGAATTTCTGATGGTCCGTGTTTTATGTCCTGTTTACAGATATCAATTGTCGTTAGATATTTTTGAGATCCATCACTTTTCGTTATCTTCACCGTTTTCATTCAGTGAAAAAAAAGATGAATATAACGAACAGTGATCGATTGAAGCAGTCTCCGCTTCGCTTCACTAAACTCTGCAATTTACTTCTATCCTGCATGTATCTGTGATGTCATTCTCAAACCCCATAAATAGAGAGATCGATCCTTCCTCTACAAAGCAACATTGCAGTTACCAGGTATGACAATTACGTCCACATATTTTTTACAATCAATATGGAGGAATGGAAACAGGCATTTAATCAGTTTATAAGAGAAACAGTTTCGTTTCATTGGAACTGCTTACGAAATGGTAAGCAATTCTGCATGTATTATTTTATTTTATTTATTAGTCTTCACCCAGTTGTGTTTTACACAGAATTTATTTACAAATTTGAATATATTTTATACTTGTGGGCAGCAATTTAAAGTGAATATGGGTCTTATGTTTTTTAAACTATTCATGCATCATTCCTTACTTAGGCTTTTTTTTATGAATTAATTTAAAATAAATTAAAATCGCATTCAACGTGTGTATTATATTTACAGAGAGAGTCGAACAATTTTAACATATTTTTTAATATTGCATACAAAAGGTCCAACTCCTACTAAACAAATGATGAATTACTATACCAGTCAACTCTGGAAATATATAGATTTTGCCGTAGGCACAGAGGAAGATGTTCAAATCCGAAGAGAAATAAACAGAGTCTATGTGGATACGAAGAATGTTTGTCGGACTAGTCATGAATTTATTTCTGGAAGTGCAGCTGAGGGATTTAAATTTCTATGGAGTGATCTTGATATAATGTGGTCTTTCCCAATATATACTGTTGTCACGGAATGGGAAGAGTCGAACCACTCTAAAAACATTGAATTCATTGCAAGTGATAAAGGATGCAAACCAGGTTTCTACAAACTTCTACCATATTATTGTGCTAATTTAAAAACAGAGTTTGGAAACGTTTCTGATGATGATTGTTTTTCTAGAATAAGGTTTCTGGAAGAAGTGCGCAAGCATGGCTTCAACAAAAACATTGATAGCACAATTCATGGACCATGTATTGCATCGTTTATCCCAAAAGAGCACGACATTTGTTCCTGCTTACCTATTCATTCAGTTTCCTCAAATAAATTTTTAAAGAATTTTTCAACAAAATTTTGGAATAATTTAAAGTCACGTCTGTTAAAAAAAAGTATCACTGTGATGCATATGGTTCCAAAAGGTCCTACAGAAGGTGATGTGAAAGGTATTCAGTGGCTTAAATCGTTTTCTGTTCTTGAGCAACAAATTGTTCATTCACTAAATCACGTTCAATTCTGTTGCTATGGTTTATTAAAAATCGTTATTCGTGATAGAATTAATGCGCATATTGAAATACATGACACATTGTGTTCTTACCATTTGAAAACAGTTTTGTTTCATGTATTGGAAGATGTGCATTCAGACTTTTGGATTCCAAGTAATATATTCTGCTGTTTTTGGATTTGTTTTACACGTCTTCTATTATTTGTGAGAAAAGGAGTTTGTCCTAATTACTTTTTACCTGAATGCAATCTTTTTCGAAAGGAAAGAATTTTGACAAGAAAAGGCAAAATTGAAGAAATTCTTTTCGATGTTCTGAAATACGGACCAAGATATTTGGTGCATGTATGCACTATTTCCTCTCTTGATAATCCTGCTTTTTTGTTGCAACATGTACATAAATCAAAAAAATTACGAGACTTTATAACATTCTCTTTTGCACTGATAGAAGCAAAAGGATACCAGACATCATATCGGGAATGTATGCTTTCCATTGTAAAAATCTTTAAACTCTTTGAAAGTGAGACAGACGATAGAATAGTGGCAGCGCTGAAATATCTTTTTATAGGTTTTATAAAAAGGGCTGGAGTCATTCTTTATGAAAGGTTTGTTCTTACTAAATTTACTGAGTATTTATTGTCAGCAGAAGCAGCCTTCATTTTGGAACGAAATTTTCTTGCATCTGGAGGGCTGCATTTAGCGACAGTGTGGTATTGCCAGGGAAAATATAATTATGCAATAGAAGTACTCCATCATGTTCTCAACAAATTATCAGAAAGCGCACTTTTGTGTGTTATCAATAATGATTCCCTACAACGTGACATTGACAATCCTTCATGTAGTTTTACATATTTGACAGCAAACTATTGCTCATGGCATATTTACTTATATAGAAATAGCTCTTTCTGTCCAAAAGATCTTAAAAATGATGTTTGTGCGTGTGCAATGAATGAATTCGTAATGTATGATAAATCATACGCTTTATTCCTTATGTTCCTTTGTAATCTGGAGATTGGACAGAGAAAAAGCTGCACTAAAAATCTTGAAAAACTGAAGAAATCTTTTAAAGATTATCGCTGTCTTCAACTTGGTTTAAACGCTAATGAAAATTCGAAAAAACTTGCGCTGATAGCAGAGAAGAGATTGAAAGAATTGATTTGAAAATCATGAAATATGTGTTTACTCGGGTATTATTTTTTTGTTTTGTTTTCATTTGATAATTCATCAAGATTAAAGAAAAACCAACTTTTCATGTTGTTGGAAAGTATAAAATTTAAGCAATAAAAATATTCTGAGTTGACCAGTCATTTATATCTCTGTGTTTTTTTCTCTTTTTGTGTCGCCTGCAGAGCACAGCGTCACTCATATATATTAGGGATCACTTCACCCGGCGTCTGTCTGTCTGTCACACCCTAAATCTCAAGAACTATAGGAGGTATGGATTTGATGTTTTGCACATACATTGCTTGGCGCCATGGTTACCGACCTCGTGAACCTTGACCTTTGACTTACTTTTCAAAAAAGTTCATAGCGCCGATATACAGCATTTTTTTTTTTTTTTTTTTTTTTTTTTTGCATTTAAGAGGTAAGTCTGTGCTATTTAGCATGTGCACTTTTTGTCATAAGACATTATGAAAAAAACAAACATTACAATTCACTTGTCCTTGACCTTTGACCTACTTTGCAAAAATACCCTGGGAAATTCAATTTATGACTTTTGAATTTTGAGAGGCAGGCTTTTGATAATTAGCATTAATACAGTCATGTTTATGCGCTCATGATTCTGTACTTTGAAACAGTACGAGAATCAGTTACCAGACAAACTTTTATTTAAATACTATGAAAATACACCGGGATCCGTATTCCCCAGTGGATCGTGTAGACTGACAATTGCAGTAAAGAGAGACTAAATCTTTTTTGGAGGATTGTTGGAAACACTTACATCTTATTAATAAAACGATAGTTATTTCGAATAATTTCAATTTGATTATTCATAGGAGGATAAGGGAACCATATTTTCTTTGATTGTCAGATTCTATCGCAGTCTTATACTGTCCATTGTCATGATGGCTGATATTTTTTCTTTGCAGGCGGTATATACATGAATTATCATAATAATAGAAAAAAAGAAACTGGCCACTCTTAGATTTATTTGCATCTTCAATGAAGCTACAAAGCAGACGACACACGAGTTCCTTGGAACACTCTAGCTTGTGTTATGTGGTAACAACATTACTTTGATTTATGAAAAACTTTTTTTCAAGAAAATGTGAGGAGGTAAAAAGTTAAACTGTCATACTGTTTTCTTAGAGATAATTATTAGGGGGAAGATTTATAGTTCTTAAAATACCCCAATAGTCCACTTCTATAATGCTTCATTAACACTTTGATATTTTCATGATAAAAATGGTTTGTAGGAACAAAAAAAAAAAAAAAAAAAAAAAAAAAAAAAAAAAAAAACTTAATTCCGAGGATTTTCCACTACAGAATTCAGCTTTGTTGCAAACATTAAGGTTAAACGTCGCTAAATGATAGAAATATCTAGAAGTATCATTAAGCATTGCGTTAATAGTTGACCTTCTCAACCGCTAATGCTAAATTGCCGCTGAATGATAGAATTATATCATTAAGTGTCATAAATGCGGAACAACTCTAAAGCTTAACGAAACAAACAACTGTATCATTTAGCATTACAGTCGCACCCTTTGATGATATTTTTTTTTAAATTTGTGCCAATCTTTAAGAGAAACAAACTTCAACCTTTCCCTCCATCCGCCTCACAATAGTACAGTGAAATCTGTCGAATCTGATATGCAATGGGAGACAAAATTTGTGTCGGAATAGACAGGGTGTCGGATTACACAGTGTAAAGAACATAGAAAACAGTGAAATGGGAATTTAAATAAGGGTCGGGATTCATAGTTAAACGGATTGAACAGGTGTCGGATTGGACGCTTTTCACTGTTATATACTTTCATTTGCCAAATCATTGTATATGCCATTGTGTATATATATATATATACTGAATATAGTAATTATTGAATTTTTTCTAGCCTACAGAATTTCTTAAAGCTACAGAATTTTAGAAGAGAGAGAAAGAGAGAAAGATTGTTAATTTGTTCAGGTCATTATTTGATGTCAAATTTGGAAAGGAAGTTGGGAGCTCAACTGTGTTTCAACGACCTGGAGAAACATTTCTCTTGAAATTTTATCTAAAACGCTAAAACCAATGTTATGATTGTTTATATGCATAGAATGCATTGTAAGCAGTTCACAACAAAGTCATCTAACACCTCTACGACAATTCTCATGTCATTTGAAATAAAACAGTAGAATTGAAAGCAATCTTGAGAGAACAGTGAGGTCTAAATCGCAAGATGTTAGAATTTCACAAAAGAAAGCATACCTCCCTGCCCATTGCCAAAGTAAAAAAAATAATAATCTGGCCCAGTATTTTTCAAATATTTAAACTAGAGTGTATCAAGGAACGCATGTGTCCCTTGCTGTAGCATTATTAAACACAATGTTTAAAGGCAGAGATTTTAAGCACCGCCTTCAAAAATACCTGGTCTGTGTACCACTGTCAATCAAGTGCATTAGGGTACATCATTGGATGCTAGAATGTTATTGATATTTATTTACTAGTCCCTGTGTATACCCTGTATACCTTGTTTGGCACTCGTGGTGACCATCAAATTAACTTTTGATCCTTTGATATTTACCACACATGATATAAACAATAAAGAAGCTGTATTACTATGGAATTTTTAGCTTAATAATATATATACACACACACCTTTAGTATTTGAAATAATAATGATATTCCTTATGATAATATTTAGTAATTTGGTAAAACTTTTTTTTCAAAGCTCAACAAATACTTTAAATAATGATATTTTTAATGGGTAGGGATGCTTTGACACACATTCAACTACAAATTCATAAAAGTTATTGAGATTGAACTATATTTACAACCTTTTATTTCTAATCTAAAATTATATCAAAATCTCAACACAGGTAAAGTTTGACTTCTTGGGTATTCTTCTGTGTATTAAATCACTTCCTGTGTATAGGGATTGGGAGACAAACGACCACAGGTAAACTGCTAGCCCTCAAGGCATTCATATCTGTGCAAAATAAGCCCCTCCCTCACATGAAAATTTACCACCCGGTAAAAAATCTCTGCCTTTAACTACAATGTCATAAGTTCTTAAATATGCTAAATTATCGACGCACTGCTTCTCAGAATTCAAAAGATATCATTTAAATTAGCCGAATGGAGTAATTATGACAAGTAGGTCAAAAGTCAGGTTCCAGTGGACTGTAATGCTTGTATTTTTTATAATACATATATCTTATGACAAACAGTGCACATGCTTATAATTAAATAGCAAAAACTTACTTTCAAATGTCAAAAATATGCTGTATATTGGCACCATGAACTCTTTTGAAAAGGTCAAAATCAGCAACCCTGGTATTTTACAAATGCCGAAGTACCAAGCAATATTTCAGCAGAATATCAAATCAATATCTCTTACAGTTCTCAAGACATAAGGTTTGACAGACAGAGAGGCATACGCTGGGTAACTCTCTGCTCTGCAGACGACACAAAAAGTTTAGGGTTTCGGTAGAAGAATATCTGCAAATGCAAAATTAGAAAAAAGGTTTGAATTCTAAATGGGCCTTTCTACACCAATTAATGTAAAACGTTTTTGGAAATTGAGAAAATTATATTGTATAAAGGTAAAAATATTGAATTCATTTATTTTTTCAGCATTATTTATGCCTTTTCAAATTAAAGGTGCTTAGACACAGATTTGAAGTCAATATTTTCTCAATTTTTTTGTATAATATCACGACTTATATATTGCAATAGCATTTCACACGAAAATATAATTAAAAACTTATTTTATCTGGAAATAATTGGAACTACGAATTCCTGGACGCGTTTGATTAACACATCCTTGCACTTTCACAAATTTTATCTTTATCCTTAATATTTAAGAAGAGAAGCTATTTTGTTGTGTATTAATGAAAAACATTACATCTATAATCCTGAAAATTCAGAGTAGAAATGTGCGAAAGCAAACCCCCTCACTAATATCGTCAGCTCGTGCTCAGTGTTGTGTACAGAGTTTAACAAATTGAATACCCGTGAAACATAAACTATTTTTGTAAACAGGGCACGAGCTCTGTTATTGTTAATGTTTACGATTCACCGGGTGTTTTCAATTGTTATAGTCTGCACACACCACTGAGCACGGACTGACAATACTGTGAGTGGGTTTTGCTTTCGAACATTTCGACTCTGAATTTTCTGGATTATAGTTTTAATATTTTTCATTAATACACAACAAAATTGCCACTTTTCTTAAGTATTAAGAATAAAATTAAAAGTTGTGAAAATGCAAGGATGTATCAATCAAACGCGTCCAGAAATTTGAAGTTTCAATAACTTCGAGATGAAATAAGATTTTTGTTATATTTTAGTATGAAATGCTATAGCAACATATAAGTCATGAAATTATACAGAAAATTTGAGAAAATATTAACTTCAAATCTGTGTCCAAGCACCTTTAATGTTCTCAGATAAAAGACACGCGTTCGTTTGTTTGTTAGTTGGTTCGATGTGATTGATATATAACATACTGTAAACGTGGAAAATTTCCGTGTAGGAGTAAATTGTGTGTGTTCTGCTATCAGTCTCAAATATTTACTTAATTCAAGGGTAAAATATAATGCATATTCAAAAGAAGAAGAAAAAAATGTTTCACCTGTTTAGATCGTCAACTGAAAATTTGACAAAGATTTAATGTTTTATGTGATCAACCATATTGATCTGCAATTGAGAAGTTGAAGATGTTTTATCTGCTGTGGAAAAAACTAGAGGAGTTCATACTTCATTTCATTCTTACTACATTTTGTGTCCCTCTGCAGATTGTATTACAAAACAAAATTCAATAGTCCAAAGAAACAACGTAAAATTATTCATCTGTCATCTAGATGTATTTTTCAGCAGTTATGAAGTACATACATGTACATATAAAATATTAGTTCTTCAAGTTTATTTCTCTATTGTAAATGTTTGTTTGATTGATTTTTAGGTCACCTGAGTCACTCAGGTGACCTATTGCTATCCGTTCTCGTCCGTTGGCGTGCGT